TTCCAAGACAATTGAAAGCAAGTCTACGTTTTTTGATTCACATTTAGTTGTCTAGTTTGATGTGCAACCATGTTTTAATTTGCATGTCTTATTTTCTACAATTTGCATTAAATAGGATTTGAAAGACTTTTGGTGTTCCTCATGTTGAACGACCCTTTGGCCTATTTAAAGGCTTGTAATCACCTTGTTTTGACAGATTAAACATATTGAAATTCAAGAACTTTTGTTCCTTAACACTTTTGGTGTTGCTTCTTTCAAATCTTGCTTTAGGTTTGATGTTAAACTGATTCATTGGATTAGTCTCGATCAAGCTAATTCTGGAGTGAGTCATCTTAGGATCTAGGAGTGACCATCGTAGATTCTAAGTCCGATCTAAGAGTGATTCATCTTCTAACCTTACTCTTGGTTGGAATCATTCGGTAAGTTAGTCGTTTTTGTGAATGTTTGCAAGGATCCTAGAAGGATCTCTAGCTTTGTAAACCCGAGCAACCTTGGTGCTTATCACCGAGGATATTCAAACTCCGACCTCAAAGCTCAGTCGAAGTACACGCCTTTGACACCGGAGGCCAGATTACGAGGGAGGAGTTCAACCTGATGAAGCACAGGTTTGACAAGCAGGTTGAGGCATTGAAAGCTAAATGCGAGAAAAATGAGAGCCCATTTGACGATGGAGAGATGGGCGAGTCTCCATTCACCTCGGACATCTTAGAGGCCCCTATTCCTCCAAAGTTCAAAACACCTGCCATGAAGCCTTATGATGGGTCTAAGGACCTAAAGGACTATGTTGAGGTTTTTGAATGCCTTATGGACTTTCAAGCGGCATCAGATGCCATCAAGTGCCGAGCTTTTCAGATCGCCCTCACAGGGAGTGCTCGGCTCTTGTACCGAAGGCCGCTAGCAAGGTCGATCTCGACCTACAGTTAGCTGAGGAAAGAATTCATTAGTCAATTCTCTTATCGGCATTACGATAGGAAAATAGCTACTCATCTCGCCACCATCCAATAGAAAGAAGGCGAGACTTTAAGGGAATACGTGACCCGCTTCCAGGAGGAGCAGCTCAAAGTCACGTATTGCTCCGACGATTCAGCCATGTGCTACTTCCTCACTGGCCTGGCTGATGAAACTTTGACGGTCAAACTGGGCGAGGAAGCGCCATCAACCTTCGCTGAGGTCTCGCAGAAGGCCAAAAAGGTTATAGACGAGCAGGAGCTGCTTAGAACTAAGCTAGGCCGGACAGACAAAAGGTCCGACCAGAAAAAGCCAGGTGTCCAAGAGAAAGGAAAGCCTGATTCTAAGTCTAAGGACAAGGGATTATCTTCCCAAGGTCGATCTGACTACAGGAGATCTGACTCGGACTCCAACCGGAGGGGACCTTATGAGAGGTACACTCCAACCACCATTCCGATCTCCGAGATTCTTACCAACATTGAGGAGAACGATTTAGAGAAACTCCTCAAGCGGCTTCATAAGCTTAGAGGAGACCTAGAGAAGTGCAACAAAGACAGATACTGCCGTTTCCATCGTTATCATGGTCATGACACCTCGAGTTGCTAGGAGTTGAAGCGCCAGATTGAAGACTTGATTCAATATGGCTACTTCAAAAGGTATGTTGGCAAGCCGGGTTCAGGCTCGGCAGGGAAGAAAAAGGAGAGGAAGCGTTCAAGGACGCCACCTCGGAGGGATGATTGACCTACGATCATCAATACCATTTTTGGCGACCCTAGTGGGGGCTAGTCTGGAAACAAAAGGAATGAGTTAGCTAGGGAGGCTCGTCGAGAAGTTTGCACCATTCAAAAGAAGAAGCCAACCTGCCCAATCTTCTTCTCTGACTCTGACCTGGAAGGAGTACACTTGCCCTATAATGATGGCTTGGTGATCTCACAGATGATAGACCATGTCCAGGTTAGAAGGCATCTGGTGGATGAGGGCGCCTCTGCCAACATCTTGTCTCTCACCACGTACCTGGCACTAGGATAGACTAGGGCACAGCTGAAGAAGAGCCCAACCCCTTTAGTGGGATTTGCAGGTGAGTCTGTCACCCTAGAAGGTTGCACAGATCTTCCCATCACCATCGACCAAGGCGTTACTCAAATCACTCAGATGACCGAGTTCGTGGTGATAGATGGTAGGTCTGCCTACAACGCCATATTCGAACGGCCTGTGATTCATTCACTACGTGCCATCCCATCGACTTTGCACCAAGTCATGAAATACTGCACAATCAATGGGGTTGGCATAGTTCGAGGTGAACAGAAAGCGTCCCGTGAATGCTATACCTCAGCTTTAAGGGGATCAGCGGTCTGCGCCCAGGAAGAAGTGGAAAAACATATAAGTCCAGTAGCTCAAGCTGCCGAGGACGAGCAACCAAGGACCAACCAACGCGAGGTAGCTGCACCTACTGAAGAGTTGGAGCTTGTCCCCTTACTCAGCCTAGAGAAACAGGTGAGCATAGGCATCAAGCTGGGGGCCGCGGACAGGGAGGAGCTCATCTCCTTCCTTAGGGTGAACTCGGACGTGTTCGCGTGGTCTCATGAAGACATGTCGGGCATTGATCCAAAAATAATGGTTCACCGCCTCAACATTGACCCGTCATTCCGACCTGTCAAGTAGAAAAGAAGACCTGTAAATAGGGAGAGAAGTGATGTAATTGTTGAAGAAGTGAACAAGCTTTTAAAAGCAGAATACATAAAAGAAATTATGTATCCCGAGTGGCTCTCTAACATATTCTTAGTTAAAAAATCTAATAGAAAGTGGAAAATGTGTGTAAATTTCACCAATCTGAACAAGACATGTCCAAAAGATTGTTTTCCACTACCGAGGATCGACCAGCTTGTAGACGCTACGGCCAGGCACGAGCTGCTCATGTTTATGGATGCCTACTCAGGGTACAACCAAATAAAGATGCATGAGCCAGATCAAGCCCACACTTCTTTCATAACCGATCAAGGTTTGTACTGTTACAAGGTCATGCCATTCGGTTTAAAAAAATGCAGGTGCGACTTACCAAAGAATGGTGAACAAGATGTTTGCCAGCCAGATCGGACGTAATATGGAAGTCTATGTGGATGACATGCTTGTCAAAAGCAAGCMGTCCAGGTCGCACCTGGCCGACCTGACCGAAACCTTTGGGGTACTACGAAAGTACCAGATGAAGTTGAATACTCCCAAGTGTGGCTTTGGAGTCTCGTCTGGCAAGTTCCTAGGCTTCATGGTTAATAACCGTGGAATTGAGGCCAATCCAGAGAAGATAAAGGCCGTTCTCGAGATGCAGGTATCGAGAACCCTTAAGCAGCTGCAAAGCCTTAATGGGAGGATTGCTGCCTTTAACCGGTTCGTCTCTAGATCTACGGATAAGAGCATTCCCTTCTCCAAAGTTTTAAGAAGAAAATGACCGTTCGAGTGGACAGCTGAGTGTGAGAGAGCCTTTGAAGAACTCAAAAGCTACCTCTGCTCAGTGCCATTGCTCACAAAGCCCATGCCAGGAGACAAACTCCATTTATATTTGGCCGTATTGCACAATGCAGTCAGCTCGGCCCTTATCGAACAAGATGGAGTACGGCAAAGTCCTATCTATTACACAAGCAAAGTCATGATCGAGGCTGAGACAAGGTATCCCCAGATGGAGAAGCTTGCCCTCGCCTTGGTCACCTCGGCATGAAGACTAAGACCGTACTTCCAAGCCCATACCGTGATCGTGCTCACCAACTTGCCTTTGAAGCAGGTTTTCCACAAGCTAGAAACGTTTGGACGATTGATGAAATGGGCGGTGGAGCTAAGCGAGTACAACATCCAGTTCGAGTCCCGAACGACTGTGAAAGGACAAGTCGTTACAGACTTATAGCCCAGCTCACTCCTCCACCAGCTCAAACCTCTACGCCCGACCACCCGTGGACAGTGTACGTGGATGGATCTTCGAATGAGAAAAGATGCGGAGCAAGTGTGCTTCTCCTTGCCCCGGATGGCATGTGTTTTGAGTACGCCTTGTGCTTCAACTTTGGTACTTCAAACAATGAGACCGAGTACGAAGCCCTGTTGGCCGGACTACGCATGGCAAGAGGGCTGGGGGCCACCCACCGTCTAATTTTCAGTGATTCACAGCTGATAGTGAATCAGATCAAGGAAGAATATCAAGCAAAAGACTCTCGGATGGAGAAATATCTGGAAAAGGTCAGGTCACACCTCGCATATTTCCAAGCCTATGAAATTATTCAGATTCTGAGGTCACAAAACTCCAATGCAAATGCCTTGGCCAAGTTAACGTCAGCATACGAGACCGATCTGGCAAGGTTAGTCCCGGTAGAAATTTTGGACAATCCGTCTATCTTAGAACTAGATGTGATGGAGGTCGACTCCCAGCCTCCGTCATGGATGGATCCAATCAAGAGCTCCCTAGAAGGTAATGTCCCAGTAGACCAGAGGGAAGCCAAAAAAATAACGAGGAAAGCAGCTCGGTACCTGCTATGAGATGGAGTAGTGTATCGACGCGAGTTTTCTTTACCCCTCCTTAAGTGCATCTCCAAAGAAGATGGAAACTATATCCTCAGAGAAATACACGAAGGAGTTTGTGGCAATCACTCAGGGGTCAGGTCCTTATCGTCCAAAGTCATTCGCCAAGGTTACTATTGGCCCACGGTTGACCTGGACGCAAAGGAGTTTGTGAAGGCATGTGACAACTGTCAACGCTTCGCAAATGCCATCCATCAGCCTCCGGAGCTGCTGACTCCGATCTCAGCCTCATGCCCCTTTGCACAATAGGGAATGGACCTAATTGGCCCTTTCCCATTAGGCAAGGGCCAGGCGAAGTACACCATCGTTGTTGTAGATTACTTTACAAAAAGGGCCGAGGCCGAGGCTCTCTCGACAATCACGAAAGCAAGAATCACGGCCTTCATCTGGACAAGTATTGTTTACCGCTTTGGCATACCTAACACTATTGTGACAGACAATGGCAAACAATTTGACAACGTCAAGTTCAAAGATTTTTGTAGCAAACTTGGAATTAGTCACCTTTGCTCATCCCCAGCTCATCCCAAGGCCAACGGACAAGTAGAGGCGATCAACAAAATCATCAAGTGGGGCCTTAAGCTACGGTTAGACGCAAGAAAAAGACGGTGGGTGGAGGAGCTACCTGAAGTACTCTGGTCCTACCGAACTACTCCCCGGGAGTCAACTGGCGAAACCCCATTCGCTATGGCTTTTGGCTCCGAGGCCGTAGTGCCCGTCGAAACGGGATACCAACCGAAAGGGTTGAGTACTACGAACAAGTTAGGAATGAAGAGGAGCTACTCTTGAACCTTGACCTCATCGATGAGAAAAGGGAAGTAGCCCAGGTACGCTTGGCCGAGTACCAAAATCGAATGGCAAGGCACTATAACTCAAGAGTCCGACCTCGGAGTTTCCAAATCGGACATCTAGTCCTTCGCAAGGTGCAGAAGCAAGTCGAGGTGTTGGAGCCGAGCTGGGAGGTGCCATTCGAAGTCAAAGGCATTGTCCAACCGGGAACATACATGCTTGCCGATCTCGAAGGAAAATTACTATCGCATCCATGAAATATAGAACATTTGAAGAGATATTACCCTTGCAATGTTAAAATGGTCCAGAGAATGAGCTGGACTTGTGAAAATTTTCAAGGGCTAATCCCAGTAAAGGACTCCGTGTTATTTAATTTCATGGCTCCTAAATGTCCAAGTTCGATGTGAAATTAAATGGGGGCCAGAGGTGAGAATTAAGACTTAGAAATATTCAAAGCCTCTAAAAAGAACTTGAGAGTTCGAGGTAAGAGACGAACTAAAATGATTCATTGAGACTTTGAATCTTTGTTATTAAGAATTTATCTGAACCTCAGAAGACTCGTAAGCACAAAATGAATGGCACAATAAAAAATCGATTGAAAATAGAGTATTGTGTTACCGAAGTGAAGTGTTGGCCGAGGTGTATAGGCCTCGCGACCAAGTACAAAAATGAAAGATAAAGTAAAAGCAAACACAAGAAGAGCTGTAAAAGATATGAAGAGTAGTCAACTGCTTTCGAGGTGCGAGCCGAGCTCTCCCTGGGACCCAGGGATGTCAACCTCCTAGGAGTCTATCACCCCAACTTCTTGGGAGGAGTTTACACCGGCAGTAGAAGGAAGAGCCCCGTTAGCATCTTGGGAAGAAGGGTCCTCGTCCTCTTCCTCATCGACCTTGGCGTCGGAATCAAGCTCCTTCAAGCATTGATCGACGCGGTGCTGGGGCCAGGGGTCCCATTTGGACCCAAAGCCCACTTCTCAGCATACCGAAGCTTGATAGGCTCGAGGTCAAGCTCGGGAGCCGCCTCCTTGACCCCCTTCAGTAGGAACTTGAAGCCCATGTCGTTGAAATCCTTCGCGAACCCGTCAAAGTTGGGGTGCCAGCAAAAGGTCTCCTCCAAGAGAACCCCGTTGGTGAATTTGGACTCTGCCAATGCAAGTTTAGCCCGCAGTTCTGCCATCTTGGGGTGACAGCCCTGAAGTTTGCCTTCCAAGTCTTCCCAGAG